GATCAGGGAGGAATCAGCTCTCTTTGGCAGAGAAGGTTAAAGACCTCGAAAAACCACAAACATGGCCCATGGGGTGAAAAGGTGTTTGAGCAATTTCTTTTTGTAAACAGTATTTTTTGAATAAATTGGGAGGAGGGAAGGTTGCACTTGCCCAGCATCTGCCTTTGACTCTATCCAACCCGTCTGCCTTCTCAAAAACAAAATTCCCATTTATTCTTTGCAGGTGGTGGAATCAATTGCCCAGATCTTTCCATTTCTGTGTTTCATCCTGAAGGACAAGTTAAGACCGAAGCTGGGCTGGTTGAGGTATGTCATCTCATTAGGTTCTGCACAAAAGTATTAGTCTGCAATAACAATAATCATGTCTAATAATAACAATGAGGGATCATCTAGGAGTCATATAGACCACAAGCTGAATGGTCTGTCGCACGCTGGGCCTGTGCATAAGACTGTAGAAAGGACATACATTCTGTCTGCCCAATGGGATGCTGCGGCTGCCTCAGATTAAAGGCCTTTGGATTTCCTTAAAACAGAGTCTTTAGATTGCTTAAAGGTTCAACAAAGTTCTTTATTATTGAAAACAAACAGGTACTTTAAGGCTTTCTTAACAGTCTATTAGCTCTCTCTCAATCTTGTCCACGGGGAACAGGCACTATCTTCATAACTGTATACTAACTAATGGGGAAATCCTTAACTTCTAATCTGAGCAGTCTGTCTTTGCCTCTGTTGGCGTGGAGCCCCTGTACCCGGTACCAACTGCTTCTGGCTTCCGCGAGTGACCCTTACCAAGCAGAGCTTTGTAGACTTCCAGAGGAAAAAGGAATTCAGGTTTCAGTGATGACTGACTGAAGTCCCTCAGCAAAGGAGCTGTAAGGCTGTTTAATCCTCGGCCAAGCTACGTGACCTTTCTCCCCAGCCAAGCTGTGGGGCTGTTTCTCCCCAGCCAAGTCGTAGGGCTGTATCTCCCCGGCCAAGCCATAGAAGATGAAGCTTTCTACAGGAGCTCTTGGTATTATGTCCTGCATGAAAGGCTTCTCTGTGTGGACTGAACCCAAAAAGGCTCCTATTCCCCCCAAAAACCCAAAAAGGGGCGGGACCAGGGAACCTAACTATAATTGACAGTTGGATTGCCCTATGATTGCAGCCAAAAGAAGCTACCTATCTGCAGAGTCCCTGAAACTTAAGACTACAACAAACATTCAATGCAAAGCAAACAAAATTGGAGCTCCTGGTACAGCTGTACCTGCACACTGAACATGAGCCAGTGGTCTGATGTGGCAGCTAAAAAGGCCAATGCAATCCTAGGCTGCATCCATAGGAGTCGAGTGTCTCGATTGAGGGAAGTCATAGTAGCACTCACTACTGTTTTAGCCAGACCTCACAAAAGTACATCCTCGGTATCTGTTAGTATTTGATTCTTTAACCCCACATGGATACTATAGATAGCTTAAGGGTTGACAATTTAATTGAATTGTTATGCTTGATCTTGAATGTTACTTTTAAGAACCCAAACACTGACTGGATACAGTTGACTCTCATTGCTCTAGATCAGGGGTCCTCAAACTAAGGCCTTCCAAGGTCGTTTACTCGGCCCTCGCTCAGGGTCAACTTAAGTCTGAAACAACTTGAAAACACACAACAACAATCCTATCTCATCAGCCAAAAGTGGCCCACTCTTCCCACTGAAATACTAATACGTTTATATTTGTTAGAATTGTTCTTCATTTTAATTTTTGTTTTATTTTAAAGTGTTTTTTGCACTACAAATAAGGTATGTGCAGAGTGCATAGGAATTCATTCATTTTTTTTTTCAAATTGTAATCCGGCCCTCCAACAGTTTGAGGAGCTGTGACCTGGCCCTCTGTTTACAAAGTTTGAGGACCCCTGCTCTAGATAGAGCATGCAAGAGGAGCATTAGCCCACCTGATGATGCATCTACACGGTAGAATTAGGGCAGCGGATCAGGATCTCTGTCAATGTTGTTGCACATGCAGGAGGGCCTGACTGTTGTCTTGATGGGCATGTCTTGCATTTCCAGGGTCTGCTGGATTGCAGAGTCGTTTTGCACAGGCTTGAGCGGACGCTGTCCCAGGCAGACCAACAGACCACCTTCTGGCAAGTTCTGCAGGAGGAGGAGCAGGGCGGAAGTGCCCAGGCATTTGGTAAGGGCAGCTCATATCCATAACCTGCCATTTTTAGAAATTGAGAGGAGAGGGAGAAAGAAGACAGAAAAGCAAAGAGCACTAATATATATACTGCCGGCCCTCCACATTTGCAGACTGTATTGTGTGTGAATTTAATTCAGATGTTCTCCTTAGGAATCGCTAGATCTTCCAGTTCGATTCTGTGACCAATCTCCTGCAGACGTTGACCATGGCGTCATGCTGCAGGACCCAAGGATTCCGAAAAAGGGTTCTCTGAACTAAAAAAAACACTAAGCAAGATTTAGCTAGCCATGTGCCAAAGTTTGGATTTGGGGAATATTTTTGGATTTTGGGATTCTGGATAAAGTTTACTCAGTACTTGTGTAAGTTACACGTGCTGTAAGTTACATACTTGTCCCAGTGGCAGAAAGGGAAGCCAGGGTTGGGAAAAGGCGCAGGAGGCAGTTCAGGAAAAAGGCCTCCTGAGCATGGACGGAATTCCTCCCTCTTCATCTGCAGGTGAGGGGGAGCCAACTTCTTCCAAGGTGGAGGCGTCTCAGCATGAGCTGGAGGAGGAGCTGGAGGAGGGGCCTGGGACAGTGCCACTCGTAAACCAAGGAAACGGACCATTAACGGCAAAGACATGTGAAGAAAGACGTGAGTCCAAAGGGGGAGAGTCCAAAGGGGGGCTTCTGTGGGTTCCAAGGAAGTCAGGAAGTCTAGGGATTTCTAGTGGCACGAAAGGGCTAAACAAAAACATAGGGCATTAATTTGAGGCGGCTCATTAATGAGGAATAGAACGAAACTGAGAGAGTTCCAATTAGACTTTTTTTCCTGATTTGCCACCCTGGCATCCATGAAAACGATTAATATTTTTAATCCCCTTATCAGCAAATATTTTTAAAGAGCAGAACAGAGTTTGAAGAGAATACACCACTACTCTCAAAGGGGACTGTCAACGTCACTATATTCTGTTATGACAGATGGCTTAGTCATTGCAGGCCTTAATTTTCAGAATACTGTCTCCAAAATTATTAGCTCTCATTGATTCATTCCTTTCATTCAGATCATTCAGACCCACACATATTAAATGCACATTTCTCAAATCTGCACTTTATATTTTTATTACAGTGGCCGGAACAGAAACAAATGTCCTCTTTCTCTCTCTTCAGGTGATGAAATGGGGTGTTGGAACAAGATGGAGATACCTCAGCAGGTGGAGTCATCACCAGCAGAAGCATCTCAGAGGAGTTTGCCTATGGTATCCAACATTCCTAAGAGGAGATACCAGCTCAGAGGTCTGGAGTCGAAGAAGTTAGTGGAGACGGAGAGGAAACACACCAAAAGTGTTATAGGTGGTGATAAAAAGGCCTCCACAGACATGGGGAAGCCCTTGTTCTCAAAGTGTGGGAGAAAATACCACAATGTGTCAGATGGGTTTGCTGCTCTGAACCCAAGAAAGAAAGGTGCTGAATGTCCTGAAGATGGAGAAAGAAGCAAGAGCCACAGGCATTCTTTACAGAGATCCCAAAATGTTCCTACAGGAAGGAAACTGCAGAAATGTGCTACTAGTGATAATGACTTCGAATCTAGAGGGCACCTATCAAGCCACCAGCAAAGTCATACTGGACAAAAGCCACACCAGTGTTCTCAGGATGAGAAAAGAATTCATACTGGAGAGAAACCCTATAAATGCTCTCAGTGTGGCAAGTGTTTCACTCTGAGACATATATTGAAAGTCCATCAAAGAATTCATACGGGAGAGAAACCCTATAATTGCTCTCAGTGTGGCAAGAGTTTTGCTAAGAGAAACACCTTGAAGAGGCACCAAAAACTTCATACTGGAGAGAAACCCTATAAATGCTCTCAGTGTGGCAAGTGTTTCACTCTGAGACATAACTTGAAAGTCCATCAAAGAATTCATACGGGAGATAAACCCTATAAATGCTCTCAGTGTGGCAAGAGTTTTGCTGAGAGAAACACCTTGAAGAGGCATCAAAGACTTCATACTGGAGAGAAACCCTATAAATGCTCTCAGTGTGGCAAGTGTTTCACTCTGAGACATATATTGAAAGTCCATCAAAGAATTCATACGGGAGAGAAACCCTATAATTGCTCTCAGTGTGGCAAGAGTTTTGCTGAGAGAAACACCTTGAAGAGGCACCAAATACTTCATACGGGAGAGAAACCCTATAAATGCTCTCAGTGTGGCAAGTGTTTCACTCTGAGACATAACTTGAAAGTCCATCAAGGGATTCATATTGGGGTGAAACCATATACATGCTCTCAGTGTGGCAAATGTTTCACTCAGAGAACCAACTTAAAGGCGCATCAAAGACTTCATACGGGAGAGAAACCCTATAAGTGCTCTCAGTGTGGCAGAAGTTTTACTCAGAGAAAGACATTGAAGAAGCATCAAACAATTCATACTGGAGAGAAACCTTATTAATGTTCTCATTGTGGGAAATGTTTCCGGCAGAGCTCACATTTGATTGTCCACCAGAGAATCCATACTGGAAAGAACCCGTATTGTGCCTTGAATGTGGAAGAGGCTTCCCTTGGCAATATTTGTTGAATAGGCGCCAGAGAACTCATAGGACCTTCATTAAGGTGTCTTGTCTTTTGTGAATGAAAAGAACTGTGGCCCAAAAGCTGCCCTGAACAACAGTGGTATTTATTTACTCTGTAGTCTGTTGTCCTCTGTAGGGTGGGAGGAAATTGGGGGCCCTCCTTCCTCAAATTGCTCCCCCAGCAAAATAATAATTGTATCAGTCAGGATACACAGTTTTAAAATATAGATAAGTGGGTGTTACACAAGCGTTTTTTTGTTTGTTTGTTTGTTTGTTTTTTGCTTTTTAGCATTCAGTTCTTCAAAATAATAATGAATGTACAGTTGTCCATCCACATTTGCTGGTTAGGGGCACAGGACCCCCATGAAAGTGAAAAACAGGAGGCAAAACTTTAAAAGATGAAACAAGATAAAATTAACTTGATTACGGAGGAAATTAAGAGGAGAGAAGAAGAACAAATGTTATATATAGACAATAATAAAAGTTTGACAAAGTAATTCTTATGATACTGAGTCGTCTTCATTTTATGTAATTGCAGTCCAACGAGGAATGTTCTTGAGATCATTTTGACCCTACAGGCGGGGTGAGATCTTGCGAGAAGCCCCAGATCAAGGGAGATTCTCAGTGGTCTTGTATCTCATACAATCATAGAGTTGGAAGAGGGCCATTAAGTCCAACCCCCTGCCAAGAAGCAGGAATATTGCATTCAAAGCACCCCTGACAGATGGCCATCCAGCCTCTGTTTAAAAGCTTCCAAAGAAGGAGCCTCCACCACACTCCAGGGCAGAGAGTTCCACTCCTGAATGTCTCTCACAATCAGGGAGTTCTTCCTCATGTTCAGATGGAATCTCCTGATTGTTTCCCCTCTGCTGTATACCATGCAGCTGTGGACAAGTCTACATAGGGACCACCAAACGCAGCAGCATTGCCCAAACACGAATCAAGGAACATGAAAGGCACTGCAGACTACTTCAACCAGAGAAGTCAGCCATAGCAGAGCACCTGATGAACCAACCCGGGCACAGCATATTATTTGAGAACACAGAAATGCTGGACCACACCAACAACCACCATGTCAGACTACACAGAGAAGCCATTGAAATCCACAAGGATGTGGACAATTTCAACAGAAAGGAGAAGACCATGAAAATGAACAAAATCTGGCTACCAGTATTTAAAAAAACTCTAAAATTACAACAGCAAAACAGCAGAGGGGAAACAATCAGGTACATCTAATCACCTCTCAACAAAAGATTCCCCCAGGCACAGGCAGGCCATCAAATGCTAATCAAGGTGGTCAGTTGAAACATTCACACCTAGCTCCAGCAGACAAAAGTCCTTTGTCCCACCCTGGTCATTCCACAGATATATAAACCCTCTTTTTCCTAGTTCCAACAGACCTCACTACCTCTGAGGATGCTTGCCATAGATGCAGGCGAAACGTCAGGAGAAAATGCCTCTAGAACATGGCCATATAGCCTGAAAAAACCTACAACAAACTAGATGCAATTGATTCAAACTGCAGGATGTGTCAGGAGTGCTTTGATTGGGTATTACTACATGGCAGAGGATTGGATGGGGTGGCCCTGTGGTCCTTTACAACTTTATGAGCTTATGAATATCTTCAATGGAATAAATTATTCAGCAGAGATGTATATGTGGCCTTGATTTGTGTAGTGTACACCGAACCAGTTTACTTCTACTAAAGAGGGTGGGAAGGCCAAGGTTTTGGCTAAGTGATTAGGAACCACAGCATGGCTAAAATGTCCCTCCGTGTCTGTTATGAACCCCAAAAGGTTCCTGTTCTTTTGATGCAGAGTGTTCAAGGAATAGCAAGGCAGTTTAGATCAATGAGACACTCCAGAGACCAAATTTAGTTTTCAATACTGTTCATGTAACATTTATTGAAATACAATCACCATAGAATCACATCAAGAGAGAGCTCTCATGTGTATGTTCCAAACATTTACACGTACACACACACAGGCCTTCTCCGGCAAAGATGATCAGCTTTCCCCGAGAAAGTGTGGGTGTTCCCGTTGCCGCAATTCAGGAAGTGTGTATAATCTTGGGGTCACCAACATTTATAGACCAAATTCAGTCTTTATTGTAATGAATATGTTCTGTTCTTGTGGGTTCAAGACATCCACATTCCAGGCCATATGACTTATAAGGTACCTCCTGCACACCCCTTACACGCTTTGATGCACACCTCATTCTCCATTGTTGTTCAGCTATGCCTTACTACTTCCTCGCTTCGTCTGCCAAATCCGACTCATATTATTTCTTCACAGTATTTATATTCCACCCTTTTCACCCTGCAGGGGACTCAGGGTGGATTACAATGTACATATACATGGCAAACATTCAATGCCAGAGATAGACATACAACATATGAGGGTTGAATGAAAAGTAATGCCTCCACCTTCGTAACTCCTCAACAGATGGCAGTAATGGTATGCGGCAGCTACTGGCTTGTTCAGTAGACACTCCTCTACAGTTCCAGTTTGGCAGGAAGCCTTAGCACTGAATGATTGTGTTGTTAAAGTGTGAAGTATGGAACCCTGTGCAGACAGTCGGTCAATGCGACTTAAGCAATGTGCAGTCACTGAATTCTTGACAGCAGAAGGTGTCACCCCAAAGGAGATTCATCAGAGAACGCAAGCTGTTTATGGTGATTGTGTTGATGTGAGTACTGTGTGTTGTTAGGCGAGTAAGTTTAAAGATGTTGAGGTGGGAACATCTGACTTGCATGACAAAGAGTTGGACGTCCTGTGACAGCAACCACCGAGTTTCACAAGCAATCCACAAGCAGGCGGTGTTGTATTTCAGTGTCAATGTTGACTTTTGTGGAGAGGTGGCTGCCAAGGGAGTGGAAATGGTCAACCTTTTCTAATGTTACACCATTAAGCTGTATTTCTGGCATTGGAGAGGGAATGGCAGGTGCATGCTGGAAGAGCTCTTTGGTTTTCTCGATGTTCAATGGGAGGCTGAGCTTGTCATATGCTTCTGCAAAGGTCTTTAGAGTGGCTTGTAGGTCTTCTTCTGAATGTGCGGAGATGGCATTGTCATCAGCATATTGGAGTTCTATAACATGTTGTTGTGACCTTGGTTTTAGCTTTCAGTCTGCTGAGGTTAAATAGCTTGCTATCTGTCTGACAGATGATTTCCACACCGGTGGGAAGCTTCCCATCAACAAGGTGAAGTATCATAGTGATGAAGATGGAAGATAAGGTTGGGGCAATGACACATCCCTGTTTGACACCTGATTCCACCCTAAATGGGTCACTTTGGGAGCCATTGCTGTCCAACACTGTTGTCATCATGTCATCGTGGAGGAGCCGCAGGAAGTTCACAAATTGTCAGAGCACCCGAGTTCTTGGAGGATGGTCCAGAGAGCATTGTGATTCACTGTGTCGAATGCCTTTGCAAGGTCAATGAATGCCTTGATTTTGTTCCCTGCATTTTTCTTGGAGCTGTCGTGCAGTGGTTTTGCTATCCATATATCTCTAACATGATTATTAGTACTATTATTTTACTATTAATATTAATCTCTGACGTGCTGTGAAATCCTGTACTCTTTCTAACTCTCTGTTCCTTCCAACTGACTATCTCCTCTAACTGAAAATAAATTGCCATTCTGCAACTGAGGCTTGAGCTCCTCTTCCCCCCTCCCTTATCCTTAAAGGCACAGGGAGCAGATTATAAATTCTTCCTCTGTAGGCAGAACAGTAACTGACATCTGGTAAAACATGGTAACAAAGCTCCTTTGAGTAGGAAGCAAATGTTACGAGGGTTACCAATCATTGGATCTTTGTACTGATATACCTCAGTAAACAGAGAAGGTGTGTTAGTGAATGTCAATAGAAACTGTGGTACCAGAGGCAGAACGAAAATGGAAGGACTACAAGTGCATCTACATTGCAGAATTAATTTAGTTTGAGACCGCTTTAACTGCCTTCGCTCAATGCTATGGAGTCATGGGAGTTGTAGTTTGGCGAGGCACCAGCACTCTTTGGCAGAGAAGCAAAAGAACCTTGCAAACCCCAGGATGGACCTTGAGATTCCCAAAAAGGGCCTTTGTAGTTCCAGTTGATGAATAATCAAATCTGCAAGAATCAAAACCCACAAACAGGGACAGATACTTCATCTTTGCCTCTAATCTCCTTCCCTCCAATGAGCAGTCGGGCTTTATTTCCTGAAGTATGGACTGGTGGGATCTTCTCGTGGTCCAAGGCACTCTCAGCACTTTCCTCCAACACCACAGTTCAAAAGCATCTATCTTCCTTCACTCAGCCTTTCTTATGGTCCAGCTCTCACATCCGTAGGTGACTACAGGGAATACCATTGCTTTAACTATGCGGATCGTTACCAATGTGATGTCTCCACTCTTCACTACCTTATTAAGATTGGTCATTGCTCTCCTCCCAAGAAGTAAGCGTCTCCTGATTTCCTGGCTGCAGTCTGCGTCTGCAGTCATCTTTGCACCTAAAAACACAAAGTCTGTCACGGCCTCCACATTTTCTCCCTCTATTTCCCAGTTGTCATTCATTCTTGTTGCCATAATCTTGGTTTTTTTAATGTTTAACTTCAACCCAGCTTTTGCACTTTCTTCTTTCACCTTGATTAGAAGGCTCCTCAGCTCCTCCTCACTTTCGGCCATCAAAGTGGTATCATCTGCATATCTAAGGTTGTTAATATTCTTCCAGCAATTTTAGCTCCAGCCTTGCATTCGTCAAGCCCTGCACATCGCATGATGTGTTCTGCATACAAGCTGAATAGATTAGGTGAGAGTATGTAACCCTGTCATATTCCTTTCCCAATCTTGAACCAGTCTGTTCTTCCATGGTCAGTTCTTACTGTAGCTACTTGGTCCTTATACAGATTCCTCAGGAGAGAGATAAGGTGATTTGGTATGCCCAGACCACCAAGAACATGCCACAATTTATTATGATCCACACAGTCAAAGGCTTTAGAATAGTCAATCAAACAGAAATAGATGTTTTTCTGAAAGTCCCTGCCTTCCTCCATTGTCCAGCATGTATTGACAATTTGTTCTCTCCTTCTTCTGTCTTTTCTAAACCCAGCTTGCACATCTTGCAACTTTCTCTCCACGTATTTCTGGAGTCTTCCTTGCAGGATCTTGAGCATTACCTTACTGGCATGAGAAATAAGGGCCACTGTACGGAAGTTTGAGCAGTCTTTAGCATTTCCCTTTTTTGGTATGGGGATATACGGTAAGTGAATTTTTTCCAGTCTGATGGCCATTCTTGTGTTTTCCATATTTGCT